CAATATTATTGGAGAAATGCTTTGAATGACAAGGTGGGAACAGCTGGGAAAGCAGAGGAAGGAGTCTCAGCAACACTGCCATTCGAGGTGGGTCTTGAAATGTGGAGGAGTTTCCAGGTGGAAGGAAAAGAAAGAGCAAGTGGAGACCCCTACGTTCTGGAGAAGACTGGGAAGGTAATAAACCTGTTCAGAGGGGTTTGCAACAGCCGTACCTGTCATCTGCCGTGGTCGGCCCACTGCCTTTCCTTAAGTGAGTTGGCGAGGCGGTCAGGACCGGTGGTATCCTCCCACCAGAGAAGAGGTGTAGGGCTGAAGCTCCCAAGCACCGGAAGCAACGCTCAGCCGCTCTAGTTCGCCGCACACACGAATCCTTGCGCTCAGGCTTCCTCGTGCGCAAAATAAGTTCCAGGCCCCAACGTAGCCTCTCCACACAGCCCTTCTAGTGGCGCCAAAAACAACGCACAGTGTCCCAGCAGCGCGCAAGCGCAGTTGGCTACAGGGCTCGGCCGGTGTGAAGTTTCACACCCAGGAGGATAAAGGATGTGTGAGGCCTACCTAGCTCAAGATAGCAAGTCATAGGTAAAGGACCAGGCCCTGCTGAGGTGTTGGCACAGGCCCTCGAGCCCTCAGAGCATCATTTCTTCTGAGCTCCTTGCCTGGGTGTTCCTGTGCCGTAGGCCTCCCAGGTCTCCCAGGCCTCTATCCTACTCTCTGTTGTCCTGCTCACTGCTTCCTCCTTGGGCCTCCCCGCAACTAGCAAACCCCTTCCCCTTCATTCTTCAGCCCGTGAGTCGTCCTTTTGTTCTCCCCACTGCCCTGTCTCAGAGGGACAGAGGTGGAACGGTTTGAGAGCAGGAGGCTGGGGGAAAGAAGCCAGTTACTGGGGCTAGCTTCAGGCACCCCTCTCTGGCCTGCTTTCTGGACACCCACCTTCTCTTAGGCAGCACACTGGCTTCTCCCTTGCTAAATGTGGATCTTCCCAAGCCACCTGTTCAGGTGCTGGGGCTGCCCTAGTCTTTCAAACCCAGCAGTGAGCTTGGACAGGCCCAGGGCCATTCCTTAAGGTAATAGGAGCACTGGACAAAATCAAATTCTTTCTGTGGCTTGGACCTCTCCTTGCTTATGCTTCTCTAGGATGTGGGTTATCTGGAGGTCTGTGTAGCTGGAGGATGCTGGGGAATGTGAGGAGGAAGATGTTTCCTCTTTAAAATTTGAATTCCAGTGCCTTTCTGGTCACCTGCACTCTCCTGTTAGTCACGGATTCCACTCTCTGTTCTCTTATTCTTGTCCTTTTGTCCTCATTTACCTGCCTAGCCCTTAAAGGCAGTGAGTTTCCTGTCACTGGAAGTTCACTCCTTTGTGCCCTTACTTGTGGAAGTTCTCACAAATGCTTCTTCTCTGGCTCAGATTATGGCTCATGTAGAGGAAGCAGCCCAGCGCCTGTCCAAAAGTGGGAAGACCCTCTATGCATTGCTGGAGCTTCAGAAAGGTGCCTCACCTGAAGATGTCAAAAAGGCCTACAGGTTCAGACTTCAGCCCCTTATTAAACTCTGGAGTTTTGCCCTTTAAACTTTTCTTTCTACTTTTGCTTTCTGACCCATTTTTAAATTCCAACAAGCCTTCACTTTGGGCCCCAATGGGGCCATCACCCTCTTCATTGTGGTGTGGGCAAGAATTTAGATCTTGGCTCCTTGCCTCCATCCTTTGTACTACACCTTGTGCATTCCTTCTGCACTATCCAGAGACCTGTCCCTGTCATTCATGCTAACCCTCCCTCCCCAACCACTCTTCATCCCCTCCCTACCCTCCTTTTGGGTATTGCCTGGGTAGGAGACTGGCCTTGAAGTATCATCCAGACAAGAATCCAGGGGACCCTCAAGCAGCGGAAATATTCAAGGAGATCAACATGGCCCACGCCATACTGAGTGACCCAAAGAAGAGGAAAATCTACGACCAGCATGGCTCACTGGGACTATATCTGTATGATCACTATGGCGAACAAGGCGTCAAATACTATTTTACTCTGAATAGTTGTTGGTTCAAGGTACACGATTCTTCCTAGTCCCTTAAGAATAAGGAAAGAGAGGTGACCCACCTCTTCTAGGACAAATGCTTCTGTCATCTCATTTTCTGGGTGTTAGGAGGATTGAAGGAGGGGAGCTTGAATGGTCATAAGGAAGAACTGCTGGACTGAGGCCATTCTGTCCCACCTTTTAGACACTTGTCTTCCTGTGTATACTGCTCACTTGCTGCTGTTGCTGTTGTTGCTGCTGTCTTTGCTGTGGAACACTTGAACCACCTTCTGAGGAGGCTAATGGAATGAAATGCCAACAGAATGTCATGAAACAGCCTCCAAGGACAGGTGAGAACCATAGGCGGGACTGAGGTAAGATCTGGATTAGCAATGAAGGAAATGATTGGGGGTGATAAAGACTTGTGAAGATGACAGGTTAACCCCTAAACCTGACAGTTTCAAGTCTGGCATTGGAGCAAAGTGAAGAAAGAGAAGGAGATCCCTATGTTTCTGTGTACCTTATGCCACAAACTGACAGTTTTTTTTTTTTTTTTGACAGAGCCTCAAGCTGTCCCCCTGGGTAGAGTGCCGTGGCATTACAGCTCACAGCAACCTCCAACTCCTGGGCTCAAGCGAGTCTCCTGCCTCCGCCTCCCAAGTAGCTGGGACCACAGGCGCCCGCCACAACGCCCGGCTATTTTTTGGTTGCAGCCGTCATTGTTGTTTGGCGGGTCCGGGCTGGGGATTCGAACCCACCACCTTAGGTGTACGTGGCTGGCGCCTTAGCCAGTTGAGCTATAGGCGCTGAGCCCAAACTGACAGTTTGAATGTGGTACTGGTCTCTCCTGTTAAACTAAGGAATGGAGTGAGAGAGTATGCCTGGAAAAGGCAGTAGTTGAAGACAGGCTTGAGGATGCTACTCAAAAGGAAGATAAAGTGTATGAGATTATTCCCATCCCACATATTTCAACTTTAAAATGGTAGGTTGACTGAACTTCACACCAGTGCCACCTAGTGATGCTAATGTGTAACAGCAGAGTAATGGTTTTCTCATCAGTAGGCCAAAAGTACTGTTACTCTTTGTATATGTAATCATATATATAATTGCATCATAGGAGCCAGCAGTCGTTTTAGAAGTGAAGAAAATAGTGACAGTAATTAAGAGATGAAGAAGAGTGGTATGTAAACCAAAAGGCAGTGATAATTAACAGATAAGAAAAGCATATGAAAGTAACTTCACATGAGTTATTAGTGCAAAGTTTATGTCTTTATAATATACACTACAACGTGTTTATATTCTTACATATAGGGAGTTTGCTTTAATTTTAGGTTATTGTTCTTGATTAATAAGGTGCTACCTTCTTCTACCACTAGGTGCGACCCAACTTCAGAAACACTGATGACATCAGTAAGGACACCATCTCTGCCTTTGGTGATACCACTGCCCTGACCATATGGGGCCATCTGACTATTCTTTTTAGTCATAATCCCAATTTTAATCTGTCAGAGAGCAGCCCTCCCATCCTTACCCTTATGAGATCTCAGCCAGTGGTGGCAGACTTGTCCTGAAGATTCTTTACCCTCTGCCTGCCTTGTTATTTGAGCCAATGTCATCTGGCAGAGCCTCTGAGCTTCTTATGATATCTATTCCAAGATCCTGATAACTGAACAGGGTGAATCCTGTCTGTGGAGCTGCTGCACCAGTTAACTCTCCTTTGCTGCAACTCTGTGTGCCAACAACACCTAGCATCAGCTCCCTCTTAAGCCCTTATACATTTCTGGGGCTGATCTCACATTTCTCTGGTACCCATGGCCTTTGGCATTGCCATTCCCATTTTGTGCCACCATGAGTCAACTCAGGAAAAACCAGAATTCATTCAAGGCTTAGAGGTAGTCCCATCTTTGGATTTGCCTTGGACTTCAGCTATTATTAGCACAACATGAATAGACCTTGGTCCTGTGAGTTGACTGAAGTTCACACATCAGTGCCTTCCTGCCTCCATCCTTTTTAGCACATCTTATGCAGGCTGATCACCATATAGCTTGTTCTTAAAACAGGGGCATGAAACATGATAAGGAAAAGATACTTGCAGACTCTTTTTCCATTCTTGCCTCTTTATGCAGCCTATGTGGTATCCTTTCCACCTTTATTTCCCATCCACCCAGGGTCAGAGCCTAGTAACTCCTCAAACTTGGAGACAGAATAAAGAATGTCAGTAAATAAAAGAGCTTTTGTCTAAACCCAGTGCATATGTTGAGTCCAAAAGAGACAAATTGTGCCTGGGATAGAAAAAAATGCTTATAGGAGAAAAAGAAGACCAGTGCTCACAACTGGGACAAGCCTGGTTTGGTTAATAGGAGCCCAGGACAACTGTGGAGTTGGGGTAGAAGCTTCCCAGAGCCTTGTGATTATGACTTTGTCAGTGCTCTAAAATTTCCCTGGAGATTGATTCCCTCGGTGCTCAAAATAGGTCCCTGACATTCAGACCCTTTCCACCCAGCTCAGCTTCTCTGTTTCCCAACAAATTTGAAATCCTGGAGTGGTTCCAGTGACGTGTTCATGGACTAGAGTCCCCTACTTTCTCAGGGACATACTCATAGGTAGTTCCAGGCCTTAGCACAACAGCCACATCTAGCTTCTTGAGCTTTTTTCTAGGGTGATATAAAAAGGCAGAGCAAGAAGAAAAGTGGGCCAGAAGTGCTGGACAATAGGCTCACTCTCTGCTCTGTGGTGCAGCTGTTCTGAATCACAGAGGTCTTAAAGAGGAGGTCAGCATCACTGGTGAAGCCTGTAGAGGAGGAACCTGTCACTGACTGTAGGTCTAGCAGGGTCTTTCCACCTACCCTAAGCCATGTATGGTTCTTCTCACACAGGCCGTCTTAGGTTCTGTGCCACAGTCCGCCTGGAAGAGGATCCTAGCCAGAGCAGAGGTCAGGGGCTCGTGGCAGCCTTCTAGGTGAGAGCAGGGAAGAGACCAGCACCTTTGCTGGCTCCCCTTTCACTGTGAGCAGAGGCACTCACCCTTACTCTTGCTCAAGAGAGTCACCCATTCCTGAGTGAGTCAGGGTCACTCACTCTGTGACAGCTGTGGCTCGCCTTACATGAGCTAAATTGGGAGTTGGAATGTCACACAGATGCCCCTTGTCTCCCTGCCCCCTCAGTAAAATTAATCTCCTCTCTGGGGAGTAAGGGACAAACAGTGCTGCCCACAGAGTGAACAAGAGTGAAAGTCCTTTGGGAATTAAAAGGAGCATTTTAGAGGGAGGAAGGAATAGACAAAGCCACAAGTGCCTGGCAAGGGTCCACAGCAAAGAATAGAGAGAGACAGAGAAGTGTCTGGAGACAGCTTTCTGAGGAAGAGACGAATTGTTAGAGGAAGGGACAGGAGAGATAGCAGAGCTATTTCAAGAGCGAGCAACAGAAGGGAACATAAGAATCCACAGACTATCTAAAGTAAGCGAGGAAGGGTCCAGAGGCAGTGACAGAAGGCCAGGAGCAGGGCCCAGTCCAGGATAGGTCCTATCGCTGAGGGGATGAACTTCACAGTGGGTTTCAAGCCGCTGCTAGGGGATGCACACAGCATGGACAACCTGGAGAAGCAGCTCATCTGCCCCATCTGCCTGGAGATGTTCTCCAAACCGGTGGTGATCCTACCCTGCCAGCATAACCTGTGCCGGAAGTGTGCCAACGACGTCTTCCAGGTGGGCTCCAGGGACGGGGCAGGGCCAAGTAAAGCAATGCAGACTTGAGGGAGACTGGGCAGGTCACAGCTGAGAGCCCAGAAGGTGATGGGTGGAGGGCTCTGTGAGGAGAGTGGCGGCCCTTGTGGCTAAAGAGCTTAAGAGCTGGCGTCCTAGTGGATCCCAAAGCAAGCATGAGTCAGCAGCTGCTCTCCAGGCTGGCAGGTACAGCCTGTGTGTGTATAGCAGCTGGAATGCCAGGACCCACTGAGGAAAGGAGACCCAATAGGACCTGAGGGCCAGGGAGGCTGTACCAGGCTTTATAAGAGTCTGTGCTAGATGCTGCATTCCAGTTTTAAACTTTGTGAACATTATCGAAAATCTGGAGAAAGTATCAATGAGATCATGAAACATTTAAAAGAAAACCTGTGAGGTCTATGATGACAGTAGAACTATTTGTGTTTAAGGCAAAGCTCTGTGTATCCACTTTAGTGGGCAGAGTTAGCCATAGTGGACAGGAGACTGGGAATTCTTCCCAACTTAAATTCATACTCGTGTCCTCTCCAGATTGTTCAACAAAGAGGGCCTACTGGTTAAAAGGTATTGAGGCCACTTGACAAGCAGAGAAAAGTCAGAGAAGAAATTTTACTTTCCAGAAAGGCAGCTAGTTTTGGTTTATTCATGGTCATGGGACAAAGCTTAGCTAATCAAATTCACAGATAACAATTTAGCAGCCACTGGTTTCTTTCTTTTTCTTTTTTTTTTTTTTTTTGTAGAGATAGAGTCTCACTTTATCACCCTGGGTAGAGTGCCGTGGCAACACATAGCTCACAGCAACCTCCCAATTCCTGGGCTTCGGTTGCCTCAGCCTCCCGAGTAGCTGGGACCACAGGTGCCCACCACAATGCCTGGCTATTTTTTGTTGCAGTTTGTCTGGAGCCAAGTTTGAACCTGCCACCCTTAGTACATGGGGCCGGCGCCCTACTCACTGAGCTACAGATGCTGTCTGCAGCCACTGGTTTCAAAACTGAAAGTAGCATATATCATAATGGTTTATAAATGGGCTTTTTTCTTGCCCTGTGCCACTGATGAAGGTTTTAGTAGGTTACTAAGGGAACAGAGGTCAGGGAAAATGAGCAGCAAAGGCACACGCACACACCAGAGGCCTTGCAAATGAAGTAAAAACCCTGAATAGACCAGAGCTGGCTGGCTTAGAGTGCATGGCAGTGATAAGGAACACTATGAACTGGCATTCTTTACCTGTATCAGAAATTTTGAGAAAATGTGTTGAGCACAAGTGATTTTTAACCTAACCAAGAAAATTCTTTCCTTTTAAGTTCTTTGGGGAAGCATGTTTGGGGAAAAGTATGGTCTGGCTAAGTCGGGCCATCCACCCCAGTGCCCTGTGGCCCGCCCCTTGGCTGTCTACTGTCTGCCATCCTCACTGTGTGCCCAGCACCCTGTCAGCTCTCCCACCATCTTCCTATTGAGACCCCTTCCCATCTGTTTCTAAGTGTCCCACGCTATCATTATTTGGCTCCAGAGCCAATAGATTCCCGCTATGGGGGCTGACTGAATGTTGTGGATGGCGCCTGGCCCACCGTCTTGGTTTTTCCCTTGGTCTGAGTAACCCTCTGAACATCCTTCAGGCTGAGACACCCAGGAGGAAAGGGCAGAAAGGTTTTGCCATCCTTTCTCATGAGTTTAGCATTAAACAACCTCTCATTAGGACCTGAAACATGTGAAAACAAACAGAAATTTTGAAAGCTGAAGTAATAAATCCTGTAGAAAAGTGGTCAGAATGTCAAAGTAATGTCAAAGTGCAAGTCACACAGTATCATCTGGCACAGGGATCCCGGAAGACGTGTCAGTCACCTCCTTGTCCAAGTCAGCCCTCTCTATCCAAGCACACTGCTTTGGTTTCAGGAAATTCTAGAAAACTGATCTGGGCCCCAAAAGACCAAGAAGTGGTTTGGGGAAAACCCTGTGCAGAATATTTGGGAGATAGCATGCTTCCCAGGGCTTGGGGATGGTTCTGTGGATCTGGAGCGATGTGTATCTTTTAAAGTGCAGAGCACCCCTAGACCCTGCAAGGAGAGAAGAATGAACAGCTCATTCCTTGTTGCTTATTTGGGAGGCCTGGTAGGAGGCTGGCCCACTTCTTCAGCTGCATGTAGGGATCTACAGCTCAATATATCTTGGTAGATCTCCCTCTGAAAGATGAGCATATTTAGTTTTTTCACACATTGCCTCCACATTTTGACAACTCTAGGCATAATCAGATTTTCTGTTTTCTAAGTATGGGGACAAGAATGGGACTTTTGGTTCTTCTGTCTTCAAATCTCTTAGGAAGAATGCCCTTAGAACCTTGCCTAGAAAGTTAAGTTATAAAAGTGACACCAGTATGTCACATTTAGAATTTATACACACACACATATATTCTTTTCAAACAGTTTATATCATGAGAAGCAAATCTGCTGTTCACCTCAGGCTCTTGGTTTCCTTCACCAGATAGAAATAACCATTACCAACTTTTTTGGGAATACTTCCAGAACATTTCCATGAATAGGTACATGTCTGCATGTATATAGCCACTTAAACTAGACTGATTGTCCTACTGTACCTGCCTTTATTCACATACTTTCTTGGTGATTATTTCATATCCACGCATTCAGATCAATATCTTCCTCTTTTTTTTAATTGAGACAGAGTCTCACTTTGTTACCCTCAGTAGAGTGCCATGGCGTCATAGTTCACAGCAACCCCAAACTCTTGGGCTCAAGTGATTCTCTTGCCTCAGCCTCCCTAGTAGCTGGGACTACAGGCCCCCACCACAATGCCTCGTTATTATTTTTCTTTGTTTAGCAGGCCCAGGCCAGTTCAAACCCACTAGCCAGGAGCATGTGGCCAGTGCCCTAACCACTGAGCTACGAGCACCCAGCCCCTCTTTATTTTTTTAATTTTTTTTTTTTTTTTGAGACAGGGTCTCATTCTGTCACACAGGCTAGAGCTGTGGTATCATCATAGCTCACTGCAACCTCAAACTTCTAGGCTCAAGTGATCTTTCTGCCTCAGCCTCCCGAGTAGCTGGGACTACAGGCATGTGCCACTATGCCCAGTTAATTTTTCCAATTTTTTTACAAACAAGTTCTTACCATGTTGTGCAGGCTGGTCTCAAACTCCTGACCTCAAGCAATCCTCCCATGTTGGCCTCCCAAAGTGCTTGGATTATAGGCAGGAGCCACCATACCTGGCCTATCTTCCTTTTTCAATAGCGATACAGTGTTTTGTTATTATGACTAGACCACAGTCTAAATAAACTGTCCTCTAAAACGTTTTTTTGAGACAGAGTCTCACTTTGTCAGCCTTGGTACAGTGTCATAGCTCGAAGTAACCTCAAATTCTTGGGCTCAAGTGATCCTTTTGCCTCAGTTCCTCAAGTAGCTGAGACTATAGGCGTGCATTACAATGCCCAGCTATTTTTTAGAGACAGGGTCTTGCTCTGGCTCAGGCTGGTCTGGAACTTGTGAGCTCAGGCAATCCACCCTCCTCACCCTCTGAGAGTGCTGGGATTACAGGTGTAAGCCACCATGCCCAGCCTTGTCCTCTAAAACATTTTTGCTGCGATAGACAAGAAACAAGAGTTTGAGGGGAAGGGGATTGTGGTTTTATTGACAACCTGGAAGCAAAATTTGAAAGTTAAAACATTTAAGTGGAAATGTTGAACAGTATTAAGGGCTTGAGAGAAACCCATCCATAATCCTACCTCCCCAACACAACTATTTTCATTTTTACATGCTATTCTTTTTTTTTTTTTTTTTTTTTTTTTGAGACAGAGCCTCAAGCTGTCCCCCTGGGAAGAGTGCCATGGCATTACAGCTCACAGCAACCTCCAACTCCTGGGCTCAAGCGAGTCTCCTGCCTCCGCCTCCCAAGTAGCTGGGACCACAGGCGCCCGCCACAACGCCCGGCTATTTTTTGGTTGCAGCCATCGTTGTTGTTTGGCGGGTCCGGGCTGGGGATTTGAACCCGCCACCTTAGGTGTATGTGGCTGGCGCCTTAGCCGGTTGAGCTATAGGCACCGAGCCTTTACATGCTATTCTTGAGCCTTTGTCCCTAAGCATATTTTTACACAGTGGTCATCTATTTTAACTAATTCTCTTTAGAGCTGTAACATATCTTTCTTTCTGAGCTGAAACAGAACAAAACACCAAGGCATCACATTAGCCCCCTCTAATTTCTCCCTCCCTCTCTCCCCACACTTACCACCCACTCAGCTCCCAAGAATTTTGACTAGAGGAAAGCTGTTGGTGGGACTTTGACACAAACATCTTCCCATGTGTCTCTGTATTTGTAAATTCTCTTCACTCCTAAACTACTTTAATGCAAGCCTTCAGTTTATTTTTATACCTGCCCCCACTTCACAGTGGGCACTTGTTTATGAGCTGCAACCTGTTGTAATTTAACAGATGACCAGAAGGGCTTGTGAGAAGGTTGTTCAGGAACAGCTTGTCTGTGGGATGTCTGTCTAGAGAGGAACTGACTGGGGTGGGGGTGTCTATCAGGAAAGGAGCCTCCTTCTCTAACAAAGAGGCAGGCAGTCTGCAAAAGAGATGATGTCTGTTTTGCTCCACTTGAATTCCATTGCTTTATCGGTTCATGTTAGTATCAAATGTCATCAGGTACAGGCCTACCGGAAATCCTTCCCCAACTGCCTCCTTTGTCTTTTATTACTATTATTATTATTTTTTTGAGACAGTCTCACGTGTCACTTGGTAGAGTGCCATGGTGTCACAGCTCACAGCAACCTCAAACTCCTGGGTTTAAGTGATTCTCTTGCCTCACCCTCCCAAGTAGCTGGGGCTATAGGCGCCCACCACAGCACCCGGCTATTTTTAGTAGAGACAGGGTCTCACTCTGACTCAGGCTGGTCTCGAACTTGTGAGCTCAGACAATCTGCCCACCTTGGCCTCCCAGAGTGCTGGAATTACAGGCGTGGGCCAGGACACCCGGCCCAACTG